TCAGCCACATTGACAGTCTATTTTATTTTCAGACAATTTTTAACCATTATTTTCTGCTATGAAGATTGGAACTTTTTGCCAAATGACGGAGAGCTTTGCACGTTAAAAATTAAACAATTCCAGTCTCTCATAAAAATCATAGATTTTGCTTCATAAAGTCACATTTTTGACAACAAAATGACAGATCTTCATTTGCAAAGGTCTCGATTTTTTGCAAGCTTCTGCAACAAACAAACAAACAAAAAAAGGCAAGCCATTTTTCCATCTGCAAATTATGACATTTAACACAACCAGGCAATAAATCTTACTACAGGAAGAGGACTAGTTTCATTCAGATCCAGAGGTTTTGTATGATACCTGTATCATTCAGATCCAGCACTTGTGTATGATACTTGTATGGGATGGTTCCCACTTACAGTGAAAGTTTGCCTTTATAAATTTATCAAGGCTGTTCAGATTTAAGGATGTTCTTCTGTTAACCTGTAGCCCTTAGGATCACCTACAGTAAGGATGAAATCCCAGCCATGCTGAAGTCACTTACAGACTTCCTATTAGCCCTGCAGAATGCCCTATAGTATGTATAAATGGATGCTCTTCTATATTTTCATATAGAAGAGGTAAGCTGTCCCAGGTCAAGGGATTATCATCTTTGTACATATATCACTGTGGAGACAATAGCTCCAAAACAATCCACTCAGGAATAGGGCTGAAAAATGCTGACAAATTACAAGAAAAACAGAGGAAAGTGTGATTTATGAAGATTAAAAATCCAAATATTCATAGCTTGATGAGGCATCAAATACATCCATATGAAAGCCTTGTAGAAGCACAACATCTGAACTAAACAAAGACCAAGGAGAGTGAGGAACTGTGTAGTTCCTTTACCACTGTTATTGGTGCTACCTGTGGTAGTGCCAATAGTATGTTTTCCACAACAGTCAGTCATCAGATTCATTATTGGAGAGAAGGCCTAAAGCTGAGAGCTTTCAAATTGTAAGATCACTCAGAACAGGTTGGACACACTATACAACTATATAAGCACAGGAACATACTAAAGGATTGAAGTATTTTCCATTTCTAATGTCAAAGTTATTATAAAATGGAGTTTCAAATAGAGGCATTAAAACCAAGAGGCAGACTGCTCTTAAACATCTGTCTGGTATCTCTGTACTCCATACTTTGGCCAGTATGCACTAACAAGTAGATTTTCAGACTTCTAAAATAGAATAACCCATCAATTGCCAGGGAAGTGTGTCATTTTACGCTAGCCAAAAACTTAGTACAAGAGGAATAATATTTCAAAAATTAATTTAAACCTGAGCACAATTCACAAAAGACTCAAATCAATTATAACCATTTGATTTGAACTCCATTACAGCCAACGTGAAGCCAGTGGCCATGTCCAAAATAGGGTACTCAAATAAATGAGTGCAGTGCAGATCTTTGCGTAAAGTGACATGTAACATAGCTATTGAATCCTTCCCACTTCTCCCACACCTGGCTGGAAAGAACAGTTAAAAGCAAGCTGGAGCACAACCACTATTTTTAGGGCAGCCTTTAACCATTCCCTGATATATTTGTTTTTTTTTCTAAAAGAAGTCTCTTAATTATCAAGTCTGCAACCATTTCAACTGGGAATAAAAAGCACAGTTTTGTTCAGCTAAATCACAACACACCTTCTTATACCACATTACAGAATTGATTTTAAACATTTACTCTCCCTGTGCCATAGAAACCACTGGGCATCACAGCCCCATCACCTCAGCCCGACTGAGGGGCAAGGAGCTGCCACTTCCCACCCGAACCAGGGCCAGTCTTGGGGATGCTGCCAGGACCATCCCACTCCACCACCCTCAGAGAGGCCCTTGAGAGCCCCAAGGGCAAGGCAGGATCTGAAGGGACGAGGCAAGGGCACACACAGGCAGTGAGGGAGCTCAAGGAGGGCATCACTGGAGCCTGAATGGTGCCGTGGGTGGGGCCCAGGTGGGGCCATTAGGGGTGTCGGGGCTTGCAGCTGAGGGGCTGTGCCCAGCGCAGGGCGTCAGCAAATAACATGTGAGAAACCCCGAAAAAAGTGGCAAAGTCAAGGGCCACGGCTTTGCTCCTCTCACGCGTTCTTTCTCCTGACCCGAGGCTGACTCCTGGCCATGTAAAAGGGGTCCGGGCTCCAACCCGAGGTGCCGCGCCAGGAGCCGCTCTGCCGCCCGGGGGTCCGCGCTCAAGTCCCGAGGCAGGGCAGGGCAGGGCAGGGGTGTGTCGGGGTCGATACTCAGCCCTGGGCTCTAGGCGTGTGGAGCTCCAGCTGCCTTCCCTGGAAATAAGCCGCTTCCCTCCCTGTCTCCTTTAGGAGCGGGTTGCATGGGCTGCTCTGTCCTCCACCAGCCCAGCCAGGCACACTGCTCCTGTGTAAAACGGAGACAGGGACACAGCAATCGGTTCTGTCCTCAGCAGACGTGCAGCCCTTACCTCAGCCCGTCCATGTCCGAGTGGGTGGCAGCATCAAGGGGAGGAGAGAGCATTTGTGCTGAAAGGCAAACTGCCAGTTAGTTTTGCTTTAACGTTTCCCCAAATCCAGCTGCTTTCAGTGGAGTTGAAAGATACTCACCAAATTTTTCCTTAAAATATTCTTTATTTGCTATTTTGAAACAGGGACTGAAATGTGTTCCAATTGGTGTCACCACAGGCACGTTTGTAGAAAAACTACAGAAGAAACAATCGAGACGATAAGGAATTAAGGAAAACTAAGAAGGAGATAAAATCCAGAGCAGATGGGAAAGTGAGGCTATAATTTTATGTAGACTATCTCAGTGTCTCTTTTCCACCGACAAATGGTGGAAGTTCAGTTATAGGTGGTTAGAAAAACATCAGGGCAAACAAATATTTAACACCATGTCTTGGAAAAACCCCAATCGTTATGCAACCATTACAGACAAAAAAAGGGATACAAAAAATTAGTAAAATAAAATACCAATATTCATATTGCAGTGAAAAAAGAAATTTCATTTTGTTTAATTCTGGAATTGTCTGTTGTACCCATCAATTGGAGAGGGAAAGAAACTAAAATCTGTTTTCGGAAATTCAGAAATAGAAAAATGCTTTTTACATCTAAATACAGCTCTTGCATTTGTTGAAAGAAAAGTTACTTTGATATTTGTTGCTAAATAAAATCTTGGATCAAGTAAACTTAATTAAAAAAATTAGTTAAGGCAACAATAAACACAGGAAATATACATGAATAAAGTGTTCTAAAAGTCAGGCAACTCTTTTAAGACTATAAATATCACCTAAGCGAGGCCACTATAATTAGCAAAGGGTGAACAAAAGAAGACATCCAGAAATAGATGGGGAGGGGGGAGTTTGGGAGGGTGAAATGTCTTGGTTAACCTTATTCGAGTGTTCTTTCCATAGCATAGGAAATGGTTCCAGCTAGCTCATGAGTTCTGTTGGTATTAACTGATTTTTAAAAGGACATTTCCATGTTGTCTGTATGCCAAGAAATTCTTTTACTGGCATGTTTGCTGAATACAGGAAACATCGCCCTAACTAAGTGACACTGAATGTGACGAAGAATTGTATCTTTATTCTGGTGTTTCAGTCAACACAGTCTCTTTGTTTCAGCTGGAAACCTTTTGGTATTTATTGGGGAATACTTACTGCAGTCTCGCAGTTTGTCCTGAGTAATGAGCAAACACAGTGGCTGGTGGTGCTGAGTCATAATCCCTCACCACTCAAGAAGCAGCTTGCTGCATCCCTTGGGCAGCAGCTGATTAGTCTGAGGGATGATCCAGCACTTTAGTGGAGGTAGAGACAGGGCACTCTAGTCACACACTAATCTACTTCATCTCTCTTCAAGGTATGGGCAGAAAAGACTAACAGTGCTGGGAATCTTCCTTGTCTCCATGCTATAGCCAGAATTCCTTGTGTGAGGAAATAAATGTGTACCTACAACTGCTTACTATCCTAAAGAGAGAGATGAACAAGTCAGTCTTTTATATAGTAATTTTCTGTGTAAGTCAGGCTGTGCTTATAGGCCCAGTCTTGTACTGAGTATCAGAAGAAAGCTTTACTGAAGCCAATGAGAATTTGTCTGAATAAGAAGTGCAAGTGAAGGTCTTGAATAGTGTATTTCCATTTTCACTCACAGCATTTGACAGTTTCCTGTTTTCTTCCATAAAGCTGCCTGTGTCAAGCATTTCAGTTTCATTTGCTCCGTGTTATTTCTATATGCCCTTTTTATTATCTATTTTCTCTTTTCCTTTCTCAGGAACTGTGCTAGTGCCACAGCCACTACATAGGCAGCAGTAACTGCAATTATTTGTGGCTCAGAGCTCCACTGACTGTAGAGATCTTCAACGGTCAGTGGTTTCAGTGACAAGCCCTCAAATTCCTTCTTCCCCCTTTTTGGAAAAGGTGGAAATATTTGAGAAAAAGGTTCAGAGTGGGTGGGTCAGGCAGGCCAGCAGTCACAGCTTGATACTTCTGGTGCTCAGTGAAAATTGCAGTAAAACCACAAAGATATTAAATCCTAGGTATTAACTTTCCTTCATGTAACAGCAAAAACATGTAGAAAGAATAACAGGTGACAATCATGCAAAGTTTCTGTTTCTGCTCCCATTTGTCTGTGCAACAGTTTTAGGGCAGTTAAAATTGTGGGAGAGGGTAGGGTTGTAGTAGACAGGCTGCTTGCTGGGAGGCATGAGACTAAATTAGGTGGTAGTGCAAATCATCTAGCATACAAGTGGAAGCCAAAACTAATGTGTAGTTCATACCCAGGTCACCACAGTATAAAATAGTTTCAGCTTCTTTTTTAAGGACTCATGTGCCTTATATCTACACGTGGAGAAGAGAGCAGTAGATAGAAAGCCAGCTGCTGACAAACAAATACTAATGGAGTATTGTTTGGCTTAGTACACATCATACTCATGAAAAACAAAATCAGGCAATTTTCTGCATTTGAGGCTGAATCTCCTAACACTATTTTGAATATTGGCCATATTGCTAAGATTCTACACAGACTTTCTAGTCTTTGAGCAATCCAAAATTGCTCTAAGGAGTAGCACTGCCTTTCTGCTGCAAGACTTTGAAAACAGTGGTCCTTGTTTATAACACAGCAAATAAACAACAAGAATATTAACAACAGCAACAACAGTAATATCAATTTTAAGTAGAAATAAACACACGGCAATTACTTTACATTGCTTTGGACCCGTCATTCACAAGATGGGTTCTCGTTTGGCAGGTGTGGTCAAGGACAATGTTGTCTCCTGACTAGGAATGAACTTTCGGAAAGAGCGTTCCCAGTAGGAAGGTTTAGACCTCAAAGCGAGTGTTTATGTGACTAGCTCATTTGGTAACATTGAACAGCATTTATTTTTAATTTGCATGCCTCTCCTTTAAGTAATACCCTTCTCCTCTTGACTTCACTGGGAGCTCCACATGTTTTGCCTTTGATTCCGCTGCATGCTGACAACTCTAATTAGTGTTAACAGGAGTTTCAGTGGAGTTTCTCATTCTCCCTCTTTCTCTGTAAAAGAGTTTACAGATTGGGAGTTGGAGCTATATCAAACTGGTACATGGTACCTATCAGGAATGTATCTTCCTGTCTGCTCTGTCCCTGGCAAAATGGAACTCAAACTTTTTTTTCAGGCTGCATAACAATGGTGGCATAACTATGAGAAAAATGACATTGATCATTTTAACGAACTCCCCTCAGTTGTGAAAAGACTGCTTAGTATTGGTTTTGATTTTTAACAGTAAAAATTTCAGCTAGTTAACACAGTCTTTCTCTCTAAGTTGCTATCATAGTAACTTGGTGCAATAAATGAGTTAGCTCAGTTCTCTAGGGCTAGAACCTGCAGCTCATACTGAACCTCAGCCTGTTCTGCCCTGTAGAAACTGCTTTGAATTTTGGAGATATTTTGTATAGGGAAGAAATACTGTTCCATTTTGAGATTTTAATCTCAGACTTTCATGCACATATGTACAGACAGACACAATGAACAGAAGCCCCCTTTCTTCTTCTTCCTAAGAACTATTGCATTTGGCTTTCTGTGCTTACATAACCCTCCTTCCAATATTTCAAAAGACACAGAATTTCCCAGCATGATGATAAAGTTTTCCTGTGTTCCAATAATAAAAGTTGAATGTACCAGTAATTTCCAGTTCCTCTGTGATCGGGCAGCCTGTGAAGACTAAATCAGAAGTATACAACCTGCAGTATCAGTGTGGGAGTCGGAAACAGATGTTCACCGGACAATACAATTTGTTGTCACTGTCGATACTATATGGCACTTTTCCCAACAAAAATTGTCTGTAGCTGAAAAGGAACGTAGGGAATGATTCATGCTCCAAATTATTATTTGTTAAATTACTGTTAATGTTAAATGCTCTTTGTTTTGTTTAAAATGTCTGAATCGAGGAGGCACAAGCACTCAAAGTACAATTAACTGGGGTTGTAACATCTGTATACTCTGTGAACCAATTAATTTAAGGCTTTTTTCATCAAGACATTTTAAAACCAAGAGTCAAATTATCTTCTTTAGAATCAAGGTACCTTAACTTTTAATTTTGTAAAATATTTGCTCAGTAGCTATTTACACAAAAAGCACATGACAAGAGGTAAATGAGACAAATAATTTTGTGCATATCTGAGTGTGTATCTATGAAAATTAAAAATTATTATATTCATATAATAGTATTTTTATACATATAATAACGTCCTAAAGTAGTTTATGCCTTGGAAATTCTAATATGCCATTTGGGCATTCAAAACTGATCAAACACTCAAATGAAAAGTCCTCTATTAGCATATGATAGTAACATATGATGCCTAGCCTTGATTTCCAAATTTCATGAATATTACAAAAGCAGAAGCACTAGATCATACTTACTGTAAAAGGCAATGGATTGGGTTAGGTGCTTTGTAAATTAAATATTAATTTTTTCAGGGATACATCAAATATATGGGAAAAAAGAGGATGTATAAAGCCAAATGATATCCAGCCTAAACACAAATTAATATATTCAGTAGAAGTGTCAAAGAGAGAGCTAAAGATCTGAATGCCAGAAACCTTGGATATAGCACCTATATTTACATGAGAAAGTAACACCAGGTATTTTCGAAAATGAAGACACTGGGGATTTGAATTGGAGTTCACTGAAACCAGGGACAAAACTCACATGCAGCCGCTGACTGTTTTATCTCTAGCAGGCTTTCCTTAGAGATATTAAAAAGAGGAAAAGGTGTGTTTAATCACAAGGCCTGAACAAGAACAAATGATTCTAGCACTGTAGAATCAAACAGTTGTCTTATTTTTACAAATGCATGTGGTAACACTTCACACTAATGTTTTTGTAATGCTAATTTTGCATTTACTGTGTTTACAAGTCAGCATGTGACGAGACAGAATGAAATAGCTGATGAGGTAACATTTAGCACACATGTAAGCAATGTGCTGAATTTTTGTGTGTCTGTATATGTGTATTTTCATATACATTCTTGGGTCAAACTGAGTTTTTCATCAACTAAGTGTGGGCAAGTGCCAAAGTGATTTAGGATTAGAATGGGATTTAGGCTGATCTAGCTACAGTTGTATTTCTCATTTCATCATCATGCCAGGAATACTGTGACAGTTGTGGGTTTTCTTTAATTTATGAAATAGACAAAATTAAATGCCCATACCAGACATACTGTTTGGTTATGGGGAGTGAAAGAGAAACGCTGGGTTAGGCCTTATTCTTTTGTCTGCACCCAGAAGAGTCTTGAATGTACAAAACAGCTGGGAAACTTCCTATGTAGCACACAGCTTGAAAAATGAACTCAAGACTTTTTTTTTTAAAAAATCAGTCTGATTAGGCTTATTTCAAGTGACTGTTATTCTAGTTCTGCAGTATATCTCTTTGTAAAATATGAATCAGTACAGAAGTGTGTTTTCTGGGTGCATTACATCATTTTTAATACTAACTCTACTCCCATTTTTGCCATTGTGATAGTTGAATTCCAATAAATGTTTTAGACTTTGAAGACTTGTCATTGCAATACCAGAGACAGCACGTACTCATACAAAGTTTTAGTACTACTTATAATTTCAAAAAGTAGTGGATTAAAACAGACTCATTTGCAAAATCAAATAATCTGCCATTTTCAATCATGCTGCTTTTTACGTGTTAATTTTTATCTACTGAATGGCATTTTGCTTTCTCTCTTCCTCAATTTAATTACCTTTTTTGAAAAAGAGAGGCTTCAGAAGGAGGCAAATTTTGATGTTCAGGTTGCAGGAAAGATTTCCAAAGAGATGAGAGAAAAAGATATTACTGAAATTAGCAGGACTGTGTCCCGCCCGCCAGCGAGCGGAGTGAGCAGCATTCGGAGGAGAGGAAACCCTTGGCCACCTTATAGTGTGGCTGTGTACACCAGAGTTAGTTAGAGTGCTCTGAATCTCATCTTTTGATCTCGGGCGATATTTTTCTCTGTTATGTCACAGAGGTCACCTGGCTCATGTGTGACAAACTGCCTGCATAAGTCACAGTGCCAGTGGCAGAGATTTGTAACCATGTCCCTGGTCCATTGCCTTTGAATTATTTCACAGGCCCTCTGCTTTACATTTACACTCTGTCGGAAGATGAACAGGGGAAGGGAGTAAAATCAAGGGCAGGGTCTCATCCTGAAGGACAAGGGGAAACAGGTGGAAGGTTAATGGCCCTGGAGCGTATCCACAAGCCTCTCAGGCTTGATATATGGGCCTCAGGCCTAAAACGGGCATTGGCTTTCAAAGATATATTATTTCATTTGAGGAGAGACATTCTGGAGTTCCTGCATTTGTCTGCTGATAGATGATCCTCTGTCCACAATTGGTTATGGCGTGTGAGTTTTCCTTGGGCCTGCTCCCGTACATAAAAATTTTGCTGAGCTCTCCAACCTTTCGCATGCCTGTGAGAATGGGATGTGTGCGGGCCTTTTGGCAGGCGGCTGGATTTTTGTTGCTGCTATTTTCGTAGTTCCTTTTGAAGCGCCTGGCAAGTGGGGGATGAAAGGCACTTCTGTTCATTCATACACGGCTGGGAAGGGGCAGCTTCGCAGGGACGAAAATGGGGCACAAGAAGATGTGAGGGACCCATTATGCAGACGTGTGTCTGCAGCCCAGGAGGAAGTCACTCCTTCTGACCCCATATTTTATACCGGCACACACCCGCAGAAAGATAAAAACGGGGAAATGATTTACATAATTTTTATGACCTCTCTTCTTTTATTATATTACAGTTCTGTTAGGGTTTTGGCATGTGCTCCAGCTCTTGGGCAAAAAAACTAAGATAGTAACTCCATATCTTAAAATTACATTTACTGAGGCCCTCCTCCAGAACACTTACCTCAGGCACCATGGGAAAATGAGACATTGCTGCCCATGTCCTAGCAAAGGCCCAGAGGACCCAGAGCTGGTTCTGCTGAATGCAACAGGACCACATTGCGGGCAGGGCAAAGCCCTAGCAGGACCCGGACCTGTTCCATCTGTTGTGCCCAGCTGGAAGAGGCACTTAGGCATGTATGGAGGAGCCTGGTGTGGCAAAGGCCTTGGTTCACAGAGGGAGCAAGTCCTGGATTCCTATGGCGTCATCTGTCATTGCATAACTGCTGTAAATTGCAGGAAAATCTGGTTAAAAACCAAAGAGTTTAACAAAAAATCCCAAACCCCTTAACATATATTATGGTTTAGCATAGCCTGCATAACAGATTGCTGTTATCTTGATTTTTACCTGATTGTAGTTACCGTTATAGGATTATGTCTCTAAGACCTATTACTCCATGACAGCATGATTTAAGGAAAGTAGGGTGTATATTTTCACTACATAAACTATATTCATTTAGATTTCATAACAAATAACTTTTCAGTTTCAGTAGATAGATTTTGCTTGAAAGAATTCACATTAATTATGCTTAAATATCTCCTAGTTCTACCTTTTTTATTTTTCCCGTGCTGCTAAAAAAGCAAAGTGCGTGCAGTATATATGTTGTAAGTTTCAATGCAGTTTGTTTGCTTTGGTTTTGCTACAGTAAAATTTGTACTTACTTAAGTTGTAAAATATTTTTACAGTGTTGTTTGAGTAATTAAGATCTGCTTTTGCTATCACTTAAGTCAATTGTTAAACTCTCAGCACTCCACTGCAAGCAAGATCTGGTGCATTCTGCATTTCAGTCACTTTCTGTAGAAAACGTGCTGGTGCAATGCAATTACTGTTTCTTCATTTAGTGTTCTGCAGAGTTTTAGTTAGACAAGTGAGCTAAAAACTTGAGAGATACTTAGCATCTCCTGCAGCAGTAGGAAGGAAATCTGAGGACTTGTTAAAAGGAAAGATTTAGGAGCAGAAATTCTACAGAGAGAACTGAACAGAGTGTTAGCAGGCAGGAGGATCTGCTTTTCCACTTGTTGCTTTGATAACGGATAAAAGGCTGTCATGAACTGCAGGCTACCAGCTGGGAGCAGATAGAGTAATCCCAGCAGAGGGCTGGCCCCAAACTACACAGGCATTCTTTTAAATCTTCGAGACCATAGGAAAGTTGTTTTTCCCCTACCATTGTCATCATTATTCATGATGATGTGTTCCACCCCAGTTTAAAATGTTGGTCTAGAAAATCTACTTTACAATACTTTTCTGTTTGAAATATAAGAAAATATCACATAGACAGATATTTCAGCTATTTCACTCAACTACCTAAAGATTCCCAAAATAAATTCCAGAGAACTGGATCTGCCATCACATACCACTGCTGTAAGAAATCTCTGTCATTTGATTGTAAAGGTATATTGTGCCCAACGTGCAGATAATCATAGGAACAATTTGGAACCTATGTCTTCCTTGCAATCAACACGCTTGATAAATGAAATCTAGAGGATGTGTTACTTGAAAGAGAATGGCAAGAGAATGTCATTTGTTAGAAGATGAGCCCAAGCGACCCCTGCACGGCACCAGTGCAGGCAAACACAACAACAGACAGAGCCCAGCAAACCCCTTCACATGGAGCCGTACTGATGTGCATTGTGCCACCAAGGTCATGTTACCAACATGCTTAGACACAGGCAGGACTGGGCCAATAGCATTTGTTAGCATGTGTACAGATGCTTGACAAGCCGCAGTGTTTCAACCTGCATTATTGAAGAGAAAGAACAAAAAATACTTGAAGCCCCGATTGTCATTCTATACTGTTCATTTTAATGATATATGTAGGGGTCTAGCTTAGTTTGTATTCTTATGTGTAATTACCCATATAAAAAAACACCACTCATTAGTGTTCTGTTCCACTGACTTAATTATACCCCTTAATTAAATCTTGACTAACTGGGGGTCACTGCAGTGTCAGTGGGATTTGTCACTGTTTGTCAGCAGGTGTCTGGTCACATCTATTTCTGGTTTCCCTGTTGCTGTATGCTGTTAAGGAGCACAGTCTTTTCTAAAAGCAAAGGACAATTATGCATTACCTTGCTGTGTTTTGTTCCTTAAAGAAACATCAGTGAATCTGTTCTGTAATACTAGCACTCTCCCAGTCTTTATGTACAGGAGATGGGGAATGTAGCAAATATAAACCTTTTCAAAACACAGCTCATTACTTCACTTACGCTCCTTTTCAAAGGCTTAGTCTTCCTACACTTAAAAGACATGGTCTTATTAATTTATCAAATAATCTTATGTTCAACAGGCATAAAACTATCTTGCAAATATCAATCCAGGGATACTTCTCCTTTTCCCTATCTCCTAAACATGAAATGAGTTTGAAACATGACCAGCAAGAATGAGCTAAATCAATATTACATGCATAACAAATACTACATGGCATGTGCTGCTATTGCTGTGCTGCTCTGAGTCAGAAGACCGAAGCTCCCGACTCACTGTTCCCTGGATAATTCAGTTGGAGTTCTGCATGTGCAATAAGTGCATAATAGTGCCATTTCTGTCTATTTCAAATTTGCATGTTTTGGGTTTGTTATTTTAGAAAGTTACTTAGGGGAAATATAATTCCCCTGTTTACGCATATAATAGGTACCTAATGTTCATCTGAATAATTGATTAGTCAAGTCAGGCTTTCATAATTAGCTATCGGCTTTCCAGTGTAAGCCCACAAAACACTTGTCAATCTACAGACATTTTTAATTTATTAATATATATATTATCAAAAGAACTGCTGTAGTTACCTAGAAAGCATTTATTATTTATTCTGTCGAGGCTGAGGAAGCATTTAGATTCTAGACATGTATTTTGAATCTATTGTAACTTTCCCAGAAGATTATTTTTTTGTTCTGAAAGTTTTCATAAATGTTCTCTGCCTGTAAGCACTTGCTTACAGTGGAAATTGGAAAGAGGGTTTTCAAAAAAAAAAACCCATTCCTAGGTTACACAGAAGCTAGTGACATATTTCACTAACTATAAAACAATGTATATTTCTTATTTTTACTCAGATACCTAACAACGATCTAAATAAATGCCACTAGTAGACATCCTTAATGCAGCCACAGACTCTGTGACCAGACAGATGTATCTGTTGATAGCACAAGTGTGACAGTGATATTGCAATTATGAGTTGTGCAGTTATATGGTAAATTGAAGAATTATAAGATAAATTGTATTTATCATGAACTTCATGATGCCACTTGAACTCTACCACTATTTCACTTTTGCTTCTGCATGTTCCTGACCAGTTTTCAAGTGGTTGGTTTTAAAGGAAAAGGACATCCTCCTTACTCTAGAAGTGTATTTTGAGCCCAGTGGTATGAAGTTTATAAACCAAAACATTTGATTGTGAAATCCAGAATGATTGTTCAGTTCTTACTAGAAGTATACTAAAGATTGAACATCCCATAAAACAATAGGACTAGAAATCTTTTGATTTATATTATTGAGAAACAAATTTTATGTTTCCATCGGGAGGCAGCATTTACTTCTAGCACTTCTTGAGTGTGAGACACTGAATTTTTAAAAGATAGCATTATTGTTATTTATAGAAAAGGTATTTTAGTTCTATATATGCTATGTTTACTTTCCCTGGCCCCTGTTCAGAAGAATAACCTTCATTTTAGTGAAAATATATAAGCATCAACTTCCCATCAGTGAGATCAGGACGAGTGCTTTTCTGAATCAAAGTCCTTCTGATGCCTGTACTGGTTGAAGTGTATTAAGTTCTGTGCTTTGTAAGTTGAAAGATACAAATATAATATCAGAATTCTAAACCCCTTTTAGATCTAAAACACTTCTATTATAGAATAGCTTTTTAGCTTGTTTGGAAAGAACATGATGAAAAAACCACAACATAGTGGTAGGAAAAAAGTATGCCCATTTTGATGGTGTGATTTATTTAATTGTGGTTCACCACTTCAAATTATGTGGTTTCACAGAATTCACAGAAGTCCTTGAGCAATACTACAGCATCTTGTGTACCACAAGTATTATGTATATACTCTCAGTTTCTTCTGGAAGGTAGAAACAATATTAGAATCCTTCTCTTTAAGAAGTTTGGTAACATACCTCCCATTGAAAAATGCAAATATATTTCTAAGGGTGTCATTATGAAGTCCCTCCTCCACAATGTATGTATCTTGTACTAATATAAAATTCTGTTATCTATTTTATATCCACTGGAAAATAATCAAAAATCAAATGCTACATTGCAAAGAACACAGTATCTATGTAGGATGCAGAGCCATGTTTGCAACTGCTGTTTTAGTTTTCTCTATAACGTTTGTACAGTGTTAACATTTCAATCAGTGTTATATAAGGATTTTCTATTAGGATATTTTTAAGCATAGTTTTTTCTACCTGGAAAGCATTTATAATTTAGGCTGGTATGCTAATTAGGGATTTGAGCTATGTGAGCATGGAAACGTCTGCATTCTCACTATTAACGTGCAAAGTTCTCAGCAGTTCCCGAGTCTGTTACCCCGAGTTCAGAAACATTTCCCAGTGGTATTGTATGGCTAGCTCGGTTCTTCCATTTAGATTTTGAAAGAGCATTGTTTTCAGAAAGTGTTTTACACCTGGAAAAAGATGTGNTTAGACAGGTGATCTGATCACAAGGCGGAAGAGAGATCATATACATAAACAATGAATTAAAGCCCTGAATAGGATTGCTAAGGCTGTTTTTCTAGGTTACAGCTAAATGAGGGGCCATTATGTGGGCTTTCAGATAGACTCACAAAGCTCTTATCTGTATAAACCTGATAGATCTGCCATTATTCTTAGTGACTAACAGAAGTTATATCATTCAGTTTCATTAAAAATGCATTAATCCTTTTTTAGTAACCTTTTCCTAATTCATTGATTCAATTATACAATGAACAATAAAAATGTTTGGTATAATAAAAATACAGTATTAAGAGTGTGTTATATACATAAATATTTCATTGCAATGAAATTATTCAGGGTTAAAAATATTAACAATATTAATATCATGCTCCGAGACAAGAAAAGTGTACTTTTTTTTCAGCATCTCCGAAATGATAAATCAAAAGGATGAGTCTTTAAAATGTGAGTCCCAAAGTAATTGGTTATAGTATTACTTGTGGTCACTTCATGTACAGACTTCCTGTACAGTTGGTGACACTTACCAGCACAGGTTGATTGAGGGACAGGAGAGTTTTTGGTATGTATGCACATATTGCTCATAAATATCATGAAGCCAGGCTCCTTCTTATCA